ACAATTCTCCAATTCAGCTCACTTTTCAGTTCAGCTACGTTGGCTTAGATTGTTCACTTCTCCTAACTTCTCCAAACTCTTCACCCTTTTGTGAATAACCCTGTAAGACTTTGTTTTTTTGCCGCTATTCGCACAGAACGAACGTTTACTGAGATTCGCAGTGCGAATGTCTATGCAAATTGTATATGAATTGACCCTATAGTGTTGGTCTCATCTGAATGGTTAGATCTTATATACTGTTTTCTTAATGTAACTCCAAGAACGATGTTGCTGAATGCCTTCAGCACCATGCAACTGCTGACCAAGAAAGATTCTGATGTCTCTATCTATTGGATTTGTGTGACAGTAAATACAATCTGCATTCAGGTTCTGCAGATTACCACATATAAGCATGAACAATGAGAAGTCTTCTGGTCAGCTGATTCTAATGTTTTCTTAGCCCATCCATCTATTAGCGCATGGTGAACCTTAACCTCCTACAAAAGTGTCTGTCATTTCTCTTGACAGCAAGGGTCTGTTTTCCAATTTCTATATTCTGTTCTTGCTGCATCCTCTTACATCCCATCTTCTCATTACAGGCTAAGTCTGCCTTCAGTATTAGTTATTAAAACTTTCTTGGAAGAGAAACTTTCATTCAGTCAGATCACATGTCCTTCTCATCTGTATAAAACAACATTAAAGTAGTGTTATTACTTAACAGTATTGCCCTAGCACTTATACTCATCACAGTTGGCCCCAACTCTCTCTGCTCAACTTCCCTGAACTGTCTGTCTAGTAAGAGATCACAAGGGACAGCACAGTCTCCAGCAGCTGTCCATCTACTAGCCTGGAGAAGGAGGAGGTTGTAAGGAGGAGCAGGACGGAGGAGAGAGTCTTATCTTGATGTGTCTGTGTTTCTGGAGACACACACAAGGGTGGCTACATAAGTCCCTGCAAGCCACCCTAAAACAGGATATCAGGACCAGTGCTCAGGGGACTAGCTGATTCTGCAGGAAACTAAAACTTTTAGGCCCCATTCACACCTATGCGGTAAAAAAGTTGCGCGACCGTCGCGCGATTCCAAAGGCTACTTGGCAGTATACAAATGGAAAACGCCCTACAAAACGGACCAATACGCAGCAAAAAACGCTCCGGGACCTTTTCATGCGTGGGCCGTTTTGTAGTGCGTTCGGGACGGGCGGAAATACGGACAGGTGGGAACGATACCATTGACTACAATGCTATTTATTTTTTTGACCGTTTTGTAGAGCGTTCATCGAGCGTAGGACGCGCTACAAAACGGTCAGGTGTGAATGGGGCCTAAGGGCCCATTCACACTAGATCAATTGCATTGTGATGCGTATGCTAACAGAAAGGCAACGAAAAATGAATGGGTATCACACCACTCCGTTCCGTCGCGATGTTGAACGTGCACTAATTTTTTTCCGCACTGCATAATGCAACGGATCTGATGTGAACTAGCCCCATTCACACCCATTCATTTTTTGTGCCCTTCCGTTAATATCCGTAGAAAAATGCAACAAAAGGGATCAGTGCGAGCATTCGCACTGTGGCCTGGGGCGTAGCTGCGGTGCCATTGACTTGAATGCACCGCCATGCCCCCTACTGCCCCAGAACGCAGGGAGGATTTTCTAATGCTATCCGGTGTGTTCCAGCAGCTAACTGTGCTGGAACGCACTGGAAGTGGTGTGAAGTGGCCCTTAGAACCCAGAAGAGACAGCTGGCTCCTGATGATGTCAGAGAAGATGGTGACGCGGGACCATGTGAGCAGCAGCAGAACAGGGGATCCCTACAGAGCACCGCATCAAGGGGAAAAAACAAACGTAGGGTGGAAGCTCCTCTTTAACCTTTTTGCTGCTGCTGAAGTATGTCATATGTTGCCAACAGTGGGGCCCTGTAAGCAGCCAGGATTCTGCTTCCATGTGTAAAGCTAACCGTCGGCATTACACTGAAAGTGATGACTTGCACGGGTCCTGAAACAAGCCTCCTCCCCATCTGGCACCCTCTCGCCTTGCTTCCCAGGCTCTGCTGCCCCTCCTGTGGGTCTGGGACCAGCATCACGGGTGTAGGCAAAAGGAGAGGAGAGAGACCGGCAAACTGATCACTGTTCACTGATCTCCTCCTCGCTGAGTGAACCTGGAAGTAATGATCATTTTGTCACTTCTGGTTTCATTGGGCTGCAAAGGTGACATTAGTGGTTTAAAGAGAACCTGTCACCACTTGAACCCTATCACATAGATGGTTTGTGAGCCCCCTTATGTGATAGCAATAAAGTTAAGTAAAATAATAATAATAATAATGTTTTGAAAAATAAAGTTAAATAAAATGAATGTAAAAACACCCCCCAATATTTTTTAAGTCCCCCACCGCCGCATACATGAACATACGAATGCAAACATGGTTCGGGTGTGCCTACATACAAAAACAACATTTGTGCCAGATATTAGCCATTGCCGCACACGTCTGAGCCAGAACAGTATGTGTAGAGCCATTTTTCACAGCTATCTGTAAACTGATGACCTGTAGAAGCTTTTAAAGCGTCACTTGTAGCCAATTTTGAGTACCATAGTCTTTCGCCATTTCACGGGTGCACACAGTTTTGAAGCTTGATATTTACTTGGTGTAACCTCATCTTTTTTATTTTATCGAAAATTGGGTAATATATTGTGTCCGTGTGCACTAAAATTAACTTAAAGTGGTATTAAAGGCAGGGCATTTTTTGCCTCAATGCATTTTCTACATTAAGGTAAAGAATGCCCTGTACCTTTCTGTGTCCCCCGTCCCACCCACACTTTCTTGTCAGCACCGCTTGTAACCGCCGCCGGTCCCTGAATCGATTCTCCATCCTGAACTTCCTGGTTGTGGGAGAGGAGATTGAGGGCAAAAAAGCCACAGGCTCCTTGTGCTGTCAGTCATCCTTTTGGGTAAAGAGGAAGGGAATGGCCGGCTGCCAGGCTGTGTGTCCATGGACACACACAGCCACGGCTGGTAACGAGCACGCACGGATGCTGTTACCTGATGGAGGGGTGGGGCGGGGGGGGGGTGCTGCAGGGGACCACTAGAGAATGAGAAATTGAAAGATTAAGAAAAAATTAATTCTTAATCCCGCAGGGGTGCTGCCATGTCTGCAAATAAAAAAAAAGAAAGGTTTAAGTGTATTTTTACCGAAAATTGGGGTTTGACAAACTGTTGCGTTAATGTCACACGTCATAAACAATTGCAACTGAACCCCTATTTTGGTCTCTGCTTTCAAGTAATATATATTTTTTTTCTTTTTAATAACAATTTTTTTTATTTTGTTTGTTATACACGTAATACAATATTACAGGGTATATGTATCGGAACAATGCAGTCTTAATAATAATCAGTGAAGACCCGCAATTATATAGTTATCTGAACAATTACATACACTGTGCAATTGTAGTCATGAACAAGCACCACAAGCTGCATACAATGAAACCTACGATGCAAAACAGTGGTTAAGTAGCATCAAGTTCTATATATTTTCCGGAATAAACTTCTCGTGGCTTACACTGACTCGCTCTTCCGTGGATAATAGAAGTTTACGGCCAGAAATTGCAAGGCAAAAGGTAACCATAAAACAGTAATAAACTGTATACTTCAAATTCAGTATACATATAAAGCGAAATCAAAAACAGGAACATAACCAAAATTAAAATAATGATGTAAATGAAAATAAAAATTGCCTCATTCCACTCTAAGTCTAAAGGTGCCCATACACTGCTCGATTCTCGTACGAGAATCGGGGGAAATCCTGCGATCGTACGAGAATCGAGCAGTGTGAACGAAGACGTGCGACCGTTTCTACTGTACGGTCGCACGTCTTTGGTCGAACCAACATGCTCGAAAACCCGCCGAGAATCGTACGATTGTCGGCGGGTTTCTAGCCTGCTCGTCCGATAGCTGCGGAACGGGCCGGTGTGCGCACGCGCACACTGCCCGTTCTGCATTGCGGTCATCGGAAGCCCGCCCCTCAGCGGGGCGGGCTTTCGATGATCGCAAGTACGATCTGCCCGTCCAAGGTGGGCAGATCGTACGAGCTTTCAATAAGCATACGACCATCGCAAGACAAAAGTCTTGCGATGGTCGTAAGGTGTATGGGCACCTTTAGACTGCATCCTGCCAAAGATAGTCCCCTTCAACCTGCCCGGACTCCCTTGGTTCCTCCCCCTATGTGATAGCAATAACATTAAGTGTAAAAAAAAGTCAAAATAAAATAAAAGTCACATATAAAAAAAGTAAAGAAAAACCCCCAAAATGTTTAAGTCCCCCAACCCCACATTTGCACACATATTAACGTAAATACGCTTTTGATGCGCCAGCGCGCGAAAACGACAATTACGCTACACATGTTACATATCGCCGCGAACGTCGGAGTGAGAGCAATCATGGCCATCAATCACTAATAACACTAAACTGATGAGCGGTAAAAGCTTTTAAAGTGTCGCCTATGGCCAATTTGGGGTATTGTACTTTTTTGAGGTTTCGCGTGTGCGCACAACTTTAAGGCTTGATATGTTTCGTGTCTTTTTACCCGACGTGACCCTGCCTTTTATATTTTTACCAAAAAATTGGGTAAATATAAATGTTTTATAATTTAATATAGTGGAAAGTTTTGTTTTTTTTCCGGTAATTTATCCTTAATATAGTAAAAAATTAAAACCCCAGTGGTGATTAAATGCCACCAAAAGAAAGCTCTATCTGTCCCCAAAAAATGGTATAAAATTCATTTCAGTACAGCGTTGCATGACTGAACAAATGTTAGTCAAAATACTGCAGCGCTAAATACTGAAAAATGGCCTAGACAGGAAGTGGGTTTAACACCGCGGACTTCAAGTGGTTAACATGTGTGCAAAAAAACGCATACATGGCAGCAAAGGGGTTAAGGGATTGTGAAAAAGGGCGGGGTTTGCAAACGTTCATCTTTAGGTCAGAGCATGCGCAGTGAATGAACGACGTACCGCTTAGCAAGGTCGACGCATGCGTAGTGCTTTTCTGGGAGACACGCCTCTTCCGGGAAAGCGGTGCCCTTGTTTCCTCACGTCCGCAGCTGCTCAAAGAGAGGACACGATGGCGGCGTTCGGTAGACTGTCTGGTATCTTTGGCCGCTCTGTGGCTAGCCGCGGGCGGTTGTATTCTGCAGCTGCACACGCAGAGCACGGAGATGCAGGTGGGTTTTGGGGGTACTGAGGCCGCTGTGCCGGGTCACCTTCCCCGGCTCAGAGCCGACTGTTCCTTGGGGCTGTTAGTGAAGGTCACCCCGTTAGTCGTGTCTTTGACTCGCTTATGTGCTCTGTTTCCTCATAGCCCGTACATGGAAGATCCTCACCTATGTCGTAGCGCTGCCAAGTGTGGCCGTGTGTATGCTGAACGTTTATCTGAAGGCTCAGCAGCATAGCGATGAGCATCCCGAATTCGTGGCGTACGATCACCTGAGGATCCGGACCAAGGTAATACAGCCTGAGTGGTGGGGAGCCTGTACAGAACTTGTAATATGCAATCTGCTCACAGCCCCCAAACTGCACCCAGTTAGTATTGTATTGTGGGAGGTTTCTTGTCTATATTTGCATTGCTAAGGCTGTGTGTGGTTCCGCCCATGCAGCAGTGTCATCCATTTTTCAGGGTCTGTGAATGGAAAAGTATATACTGTCAGTCAGCATTGCAGAGGAGGGACTGCTAGATTCAGTGGACTACAAGTGCAGTGATGTCCCCGCACTTGCAGTCCATTGATCACTTTCTCCAGCCCCCTAACTGAAAGTCTTTACTGCTGTATGGACATGGGATGGAGGACGTGTTCAGGCGCTTGTGCATTCAGCCTGATCCATTGGTTGCAGTGATTTGCAGGCTTCAGTGTCGAAAAATTAACAAATGCACATTTTTTCTTTTCTGATCAATAGTGCATTTATTCCTTTTGCACCTATTGATCAGAAAAGAAAATGTATTTATTGCAATTGGCTTTTAAAGCAGCTGTAGACATAGCCGCTGCCAATACATCAACTCCTTTTTTAATGAGCCGCCTTAAACTCATTCCAAAAAAATAAAATGCCAAGATACCTTTTATTCTTTAAAGCTGTGCAGAGCGAAGCAAAGCTGTCTGGTACAGAGCTTTGCGTGAGGTGTGTTAGCTGAGTGCAGGCAGATTGGCTGCAGATGACATTTTTCATCTCAGACGCGCTCAGTGAGCTCTCGCAAGCTGACGTGCCAGGGAAAAAAATTACATGACACACTGCATGCGCACCACCGCTCTGCTTCGTGTGCAGTGTGTCACAGCCTTTAAGCAGTATGCATAGTCATGTGACTTCTCTCTCCCTGTTATAAATACCAAGGGTGGGGGGTGGAGCTTTGTGCTGATGCCAATGTCATTCATTCAAGGAGCTGTGATGGCAGAGGACAGTGAGGTTCCCAGTGTAAGTCACTGTCAGTCCGTTACTCTGCTCTTCACAGCCTGATACAAGGCAGCTGAATATGGGAGATAAAGTCACATGGTGTAACATCCTGTATCTCAACCAGTTTTCAGCTGGGAAAGGCAAAACTTGATTGTTGTGATGGTTTAGGTCAGGGGTAGCCAAACTCTGGCCCTCCAGCTGTGGTGAAACTACAAATCCCATGATGCATCCCTCTCCGGGAGTCATGTCTGTGGCTGTGAGAATCTTGCAATGCCTCATGTGATTTGTAGTTCCACCACAGCTGGAGGGCCGCAGTTTGGCTACCCCTGGTTTAGGTTAAAGAACTCCAGGAAATCTAGACATTGGCCCTTGAACTGGTGCTCTCTTTGCACTGCAAGGGTTAAGTTCTAATTTTGGCCAGAATAAAGAATATATACGTGCCTGATTTCCAATCCCACAGCAGTCATTGCTCACATTCTCCTCCCCCCTCCGTTCTGGCTGTAAAATGTTACACACTAAGGTCTCGTTCACACCTAGGCGTATTGCATATGCGCGCCTGTCGCGTGTTTTTTTACCGCGATTCGCGGTAAAAAAAAAGTCGCGCAACAAACACGCGTTTCCGATGGCTACTTGGCTGTATCCCAATGGAAACGCGCAACAAAACGGCCCAAAGTAGTACCTGTACCTTTTCAGGCGTGGGCCGTTTTGTAGCACGTTAGGGACGGGCGGAAATACGCCAAGGTGGGAACGAGACCATTGACTACAATGGGATTTATATTTTTGAGTGTTTTGTAGAGCGTTCGTCAGGTGTGAACGAGGGCTAAGACACCTGGATGTGGAGAATGTAGCTAAGTGTCAAAATGATGCCACTCCTCGAAGGGAGTTACAGCATCAGTGGCTGCCCAATGTCCAGAGAAAGAAGATGGTGGGCCAGGCAAGTACCACAGCCAACGCACATTCAGGCAGAACTCCAGGGAAAACTATTAACCCTAGTGCAAAGGTTAATTGCTCATTTTGGTCTAGGGAGAAAAAGTTGTACTCTCCTGATCCTAGGAGACGGCCATCTGTGACAGCGCTCCCTCCAGCCTCTCCTCCTACGCTGCAGCAATGATATGTCCGTCTTTGTCCTCGCATCCTATAGAATGTGACGATTTACATGACCTTAGACCACTCCTGCAAAGGAGAAAGGCTCCAGGGACCGATCTAAGAGCAAGCCAGCACAGGGACCCCAAAGAAGTGGAGGAAGAAGAGATCTGCTTCCCCAGCTTCTTCACTTGGCTCCTTGAGCCGGATAACGTAAACAGTGACGCCGGAAGTGATGTAATATACATAATTTCCGGGTCCAGTAATCAGGGGAGAGAACAGTGGCTGGAAGCTCTCATCGTTGTGGGGAGACCCGGGTCCGCCCGGGGGACAGCGGAGCCTGGCGAAGCCTGCAGCGGGTGGGGGTAGCACATTCCACTGATCGGTACAAACAGCTGCCGGATCGCTTGTATCTTAACCGCAATCGCTGTCTGTTTAAAATCACACCAAGAACACTGCTGCAGCTGTGTTCTTGGTATAATCACTACTGTGGCCCGCTGTATTTTTATGGCTACCGGCAGCAAGTGGTGGTGTGGGGTAGCCCCACTGCAAGGGTTAATAAGTTTCCCTGTAGTCTTTTTAATGGCAAGGGGTCCTCACTCAGCTGCTGCTAGAGTTCTTTAATTTTTGTTGTCTACTCTTGCCGAAAATCTAGAACTTTTGCCGGAAATCTTCTAGATAGATCTAGAAGATCCAAATGTGGAATTCATGATGAACCTTTGTTGATCCTTCAGTGGAGACAGTGGCATAGTGTTTGTTCCAGAGAGATTAATGGCCTTTATGTAAAGCTGGGTGTACGCTATGTAGATTTATTTTTATTTTTTTTCCTTCAGCTTTTGATGGATTCCTCCATCTATGTAAAAAGCAGCATGGGTGGGAGGAATCAACCTGCTGTGGCTATTGTATTTTGACAGTCGGCCCTGATGGTGTCTGATTGGATGCAGGTGCTGTTCAACCCAAAATGTTCCACTGGGTTCCTTCTATCAAAGCATATCAGGAGGGAGGCGGCTGACAGGGCCACCCACTGAGCTAATTTTGGCTGATTCTTGATGATCCCGGTTTACTTGGCTTTGGTGGTAAAGCAGTAAATGAAACTCTGCAATTAGAATGAAATGTGCATTGTGGCACTGACTTTAAAATGTTTGTATGAATTTAAACAATTTGCTACATTTTAAACCTGTAGGATTTGATGTACTAGTTCTTACTAATGCAATTGTCTTTCTACAGAAATTTCCCTGGGGAGATGGAACAAAGAGTCTTTTCCACAACCCACATCTAAATGCTCTCCCAGATGGCTATGAAGACCACGGGAACGACCATTAGCCTTTTGGATATGTTCTCTGGACCATTGTGTTGAATGGGCACACATAATATGGAGGGATCAGGCTGCTAATGTAAATGTCACCCTGTTCTTCTACGGTAACAGTAGAGGTCACTTTAAATAAAGCTTATGGCTTGCTCTGAAAGTGTGGCCTGGTGTTTTATGACCGTTGTGATTTAGTCACAAAGTTGTACTGTAAGTTCAGCATGCCCGCATCAAGTGAAAGGCTGTGTTTTTCATGAGTGTTTTATATGTCTGGTGTTATGCAACACTGAACACATCATGAGGAGACAATTTGGCCAATGCTGATCAAAGGGCTTGCTTCTCATGAAACTGTACCCAAAGAAGCTAGCGGCTCTTTCTATGCTATGACTTCATCTTCTTCCTGCTTAGTGACTATTAAAGTACAGAAGCCAGGTAACGAGCAGAAGGTTATCAGTTGCAGGCTCTGTTTTGTCTCAGTACATCTACACTTTAATTATTGTGGTAAAAAGTGTGGTTCTGCATTTCTATTTTGTTAAGCAATTTTGTACTAACCCGTTTGCTGACAGAGCCATACCTGAATATATTTCCTGAAAGCAGAGGCCCTGTAGAATAAAATGGCGGCAATTACACATTTTATGTTGCATGATATTGGCGCAGTTCTTTATGGAACCCAACATTTTGGTGCACAAAGACGCATATATATCTATATATAGATATCGAATAACTAGATGCCCAACATTCCAAGTGTTACAAACTGTGCCTGTCAAGTGGCAAATACAGTACCCCAAGTTGTCATCAGTTTAGAGCTAATTATGAATATTGGTCCTAGAATTATTGCTCTCACTCTGGCGTATGCGGCAATACCCAACGTGTGGTGCGATCATTTTTGTGGGTAGGTTCACATGATGTGTGTTTATGTTAGCCTGTGCAAAAAGGGGGACTTTTTTTGGGTTGGGAGGTGGATTTGGAGAGTATTTTAACCTTTTTTATTTTTTTCTTGTGATGGCATTTTATTAGTGACAGGTTGTCTTTAAGGTTACATTAGGGGTCCCTTGAACCCCCTAATATCACATTTTGCAGCCCATTAAAGCACCACAGATTGTGCTTAATCAGCTTCTTCCCTGGCTTCTCTAGCTGGGGAATGACAGCTCAGAAATCGGGAGTGATGAAATTGTAACTTCTGGTTTGATTGGGGAAGAGACCAGCGAATGGGTGTACGGTGGTCTCTGCAGTCTACCCACCGACTCCTGGGATGCCAGTCCTGAGCGATCGTTTACAGGGGCCCGCTGCTGCCGATGTATGACATGCATCAATGTCAGTGAAAGGGTTAAAAGGACAAGGGAAACGTCCCATTTGAAGTGGTACCTTAAATCTTCCTCCCACCTCCTCAGTGGAAGTCTGATACCAAAGCCAAATGCCTTTTTCCCTGCTCCTGAGATCTTAACTGTGCCACACTATCTGATGCCACACGACTGCTATAAAAAAAAGTCCCGCTGCATTCAGCTCCTACTGCGCTTGTGCCATTCATTTCTACAGCTGGGTCCATGCTCATGGTGGCCCTACTCTAAAAATGTTCTTGAAGTTGCAGAATGAAACTCTAGAGCACCAAAGACATACACTGAGTGGCCAGATTATTATGACCACCCCATCAGTACTTCATTGGGCCATGAGGTGACTCCACGAGATGATGAAAGGTGATGCGAGGAATCTGACATTGCACTGTTGCCCTTCTGCTGTCTTGTACCAGTCTTGCCACTCTCCGCTCTGCCCTAACATTGACTGGTCGCTGACACCCACAATTCGCACGTTCAGACCCAGATTTTCGGCTGACAGTCCAGTCTTTAAACACTTTAACAATGAGCCCCTCTTGAACATTTAACAAATTCTGCTGTTTTGCTGATACTCGCTCCATGGCTCCGAGTGCCAACAATCATCCCACGTTCAAAGGCTGTTAAATCGCGTTGTTTACCCATATCTTCAGAAAAAAATCACTTCTACTGTCGTGGTAAACAACCTGCTTCCCTATGTATAATGGTCTGGCCCTCTAGCAACTTCAGCGCAAAATTATAGCTAATTAGCCTACAAATGTCAGGTGGTCATAATAATCTGGCCACTCAGTGTATTTTCCCCACTCCTATCATGACTGTAATCAGAGGCCCAAGCTGAGGACACAAATGCATCATTTACCCTGTAATTATATATTTTTTTAAATTTAGAAATGCAAGAGTTTAGTAAAACATGTCAAAAGCTTGGCTCAAATGTGGTAAAAGTTGCTCTCACTAAATATGGTGGCAATACTTATTTGATATTTCATAATTAGTAGGTGAATTTGAAGAGGCACATAGGCAATGATTAATGCTTCTTGATTTTTGGCGAGATGTCTTCTGAATGCTGCATGGTCACTACATGTTCTAAATTCTCAATAACCAAACATTTGTAAAATGTTCAGCACGTACCATAGAAATGTAAGCTTTCTTTAGTACCATAGCACTGTGGAATTCTGAATTTATTAGATGGGATCTCTTTCTTTGGTAGGGTTGTGTCTGGGTGGTGAAGCAGTAACTAACCTCTTCAACCACAGTGATAGTATGGCCACTTGGAAATCCGTATAGTAGAAGTCTTGTCTCGAGACTGCTCATGCAGGAATTTTGTTTTGGCACAAACTCCTTTTTAAAAGCCACTTAAAGGTAACTGTTTACTTCTTCTCCTTGTACTAATAAAATCTGAAAGGGAGAGTTAGGCCTACCCTACTCTTCCCTCTGCAGTAGCACATATGTATAGCGGAACAAACTTAGTGGGGGTTTCTCTCATTTGCAAAACCACTATGTTTGTTCCTGTTCACACAGCATGCCTAAATTTTTGTGACATATACATACATACATACATATATATCTATTTCTTGAAGGCCTTTGAGAAGTTTGAAACTCAAACTAGATGTTCAGGCTGAGCTTCTTCTCATTAACATGCACTGCCTCACAGTCTTTAACCCTTTTGTTAAGACAGAGTGTTCAAATCTAGTTTATAAGTGATAATGAGATCTGCCAGCACAGTACAGACGCAGGTAGAATAAACAACGACGCACAGCCCCCTCTTTAACATTCCATTTCTGTTATGTAAATGGGAACATGTAACAAACATAAAATAGGTGTTATCCCAATTTGGCTGCAAAAGTCGAAATGCAATTTAAAATTGGAGAAGAGGGAGCCAAATGAAAAGCAGGAAACAAGTAAACCTTCCATGAAAGAGATACAAAACTGTCATTGCTAGCTAACTACTGACAATGCTTGTTGCTCTGCAATTATGCTAACCTACTGACCTGAAATATGCCTGCAGCTTAGGTAAGTCATCAGTGCTTGCCAACATACGGTAGCAGTCACAGGTCAGGCAAGACAGCCATGAAACTTGCATTTTCAGAGTAAGCAATGTCAGCCTCCACGTTTCAAAAATGAAACCTTTCTTTACTATTTTAGCTCCATGTTTTGGTTGTCAGCCTGTTGCAGTAAATTATGCAGGTATCAGGCATAATATGACCACCGAGAGGTGAAGTGAATACCATTGATTATCTGATTACAATGGAACCTGGAAGTGGGTGGGAAATATTAGGCAGCAAGCAAACATTTGTATTGGAAGCAGGAAAAAAAATAGGCAAACAAAGATCTGAGTGACTGACAAGGGCCAAATTGTGATGGCCAGATGACTGGGTCAGAGCAACTCCAAAAACTGCAGCTCTTGTGGGATTTTCCCAGTCAGCAATGGTCAGAACCTACCATTAGTGGTCCAAGCAAGGACAACCAGCGACAGGGCCATGTGCTGCCATTGCTCACTGATGCATGTGGGGAGCAAAGCTGGCCTGTGTAGTTCCATCCAATAGAAGAGCTACTGTAGCTCAGATTGCTGAAAAAATTAATGCTGGTTCTGATAGAAAGGTGTCTGAACACACAGTGCATCACAGTTTGTTGGGGCTTTGTAGCCATAGACCGGTCAGGGTGCCCATCCTGACTCGTGCCTACCACCAAAAGCACCATGGGCATGTGAGCATCAGAACTGGGCCAAGGAGCAATAGAAGAAGGTGGCCTGGTCTGATGAATCAGGATGCACTATGGGTAGAAGGCAAGATGGCGGAGGCAGTGTGATGCTTTGGGCAATGTTCTGCTGGGAAACCTTTGGTCCTGCCATTCATGTGGATGTCACTTTGACATGTAGCACCTTCCTAAACATTGTTGCTGACCAAGTACACCCCTTCATGGAAACGGTATTCTCCGATGGCAGTGGCCTCCTAAAGTCTTATATCGCAGGTATTAGACCTTGGTGTGCTTTATCCCCACATACCCCTCTACTTGTTTCTGCAGCTGCTGCAATCGGGCACAATGGTACACATTTGGTGGATCTGCCCTGACTGTGACCAGGCTTTGGGTGTGGGGTTTACAACCTTGTACAGACGTTTCTCCACACAAAGCATTGCTTAATAAGACCATCCCCACCGTGTTTCACTTGAATGGGCACTTTTTATCACTACCACATTGACCATTGCCAAGGCCTTGAAAACACCAAATTTAAGCTTTGAGGTGGGTAAAAATATACTGACTGGAATAATGATTAATAAAAAACTGACCATGTTATTAGAGGGTACCCATTATTTTAGGGTTACCCTTGATGTCCTACTCTCGGCTATCAAGATCTGACACTTCATTCTTAAGTCTTTAACATATAAGGCTTACCTCCTGGACCTCTCTCTTCCACCCTTCTTTATACAACCTCTTCCCCTCTCCTTCCTTTCCCTTACTCTGTTTTTAATGCATATTGTTAGACAGGGCAATTTGTTTTGTTGCAGGCTAGCTGGTAAGTGTGCTGGGAAACTTCTGTGTTTTGTATTGTTGTAAGCCCTTTCATATGCACCTCGTTACAAAGACTAGATATAAATTGTGCGGTTGCCATATAGCTTTGGCTTGGCTACATTTGGTGTGGAGACGCATTCTGGGCCCCAGCGTCCATTTTGGATTGCTGGGCCCCCAGTGCATCCCTGTACCTTTTAAGGAGAAGTGGACTCCCTCCAGGCATACCTGCATTTCGTTTATCTACTGCTTAAATATGCTCCAATATGGAGACTCACAAAAATTAAAGTTAGGACCACACTACACAGAGGAGCCTTGACGAA